GAGATGGGAGAGCTCTTGGAGATGATGGAAATGGCTGCTGAGGCACCCGTGGAGAAAGAGGCCCCAGAGTACATCACCAAGTGCGCCGCGTATCAAGCGACCACGCAAGCCTCCAGGGACCTCAGCCTGAGTTTCTCCTCCATCATGAACACGATGGAGCACTTCTACTGCATGGCTTACCGCATCGACCCCCTGGACCGAGCGAAGTACTGCGGCAGAGGTGACCCGAGAGCATTCACCATGCGCAAAGGCAAAGAGAAGCACGAGAGGAGAGAGCGGTATGCAAACCGCAGAGCTGACTGGTGGAGCAGAGCCGAGAACACCCTGTCCTTGCTGGCGAGGCTGCGCAAGAAGAACAGGGACGTGAGGCAGCAGCTGCACTTAGAGGCCGCAGGCAGACACCTTGCCTACGACGGCCTCCCGAACACCAGCGACCAGGCATCGGACACGGCGAAGCTACACCGAGAGATCTGGAGAGCGAGGCTGACAGACTTAAGCAAGGTCGACACCGACGTGATCCTTGGCATGGCGCAGCAGGCGGAGCAGGAGAAGCGGCTCGCACTCAAGAGGGACCTCCAAGAGAATACGCGGGCCTTCGGACAGTGGCTTGCGCTGGCTGAAAAAGACGTCGGCGTGCTGCACCGCATCGCGAAGCCACCGCCCAGGCGCGAGGAGGAGGTTGTTACTCATGATGGGGTACTGGACTGCCCCACCAAGATAGTCGACGAGAAAGCGAAGGCGTTCCAGGACATCTGGAAGTGCGACCGACTCAAGCACGAGCAGCACACCGAAGTTCTCCAGCGACTACGGGAGCGTGCACGTGCGGAGGCGGCCCCAGAATGGACGCTCGAGGACCTAGACGAGGCCCTCAGAGGAGAGCCCGACAAGGGCAAGGGCATTGACATGTTGGTGTGCTCCGACATCCGCAGGCTGCCGCCCGAAGGCCGCCAGAGGATCGTCGAGTTCTTCAACTCATGCGAGCAGGCGCTCGCATGGCCGTGGCAGCTGCTGTGCGAGATCGTGATTCTCACGCCCAAGCCAGCCAACGGCGATAGGGCCCTCGCCCTGCTGCCGCAGATGGTGCGCTGCTGGGAGTTGCTCCACAGGCCCGCGGTGAGGCGCTGGGCCAAGCAGCAGGAGAGAGAATGGGACGCCGCCGTGGCGGGCAACAGCTGCCTGCGCGAGGCGATGAGGAGAGTCATCAGCGACGAGTGCTGCGACGCGCTCCAGCTGTTCCACGGCAACCTGCTCGCGGACATCGAGAAGTTCTACGACAGCCTTCAGCTCGACTGCGTGATCGAGGCGGGCCTGAGGATGGACTTCCGCCCCCGCCTGCTGGCGATGATGCTGCTGCAGCACTCAGCCACGAGGGTGCTGCGGTGGAAAGGTGCCTTCTCGACACCTACCTGGGCAGACAGGTCGCTGCTGGCAGGCTCGAGGCACTCCAACAACCTGGCCAAGACGGTGGTCTACTCCGTCATCGGCAGGCTGCTGGAGGCCTCTCAGGCGCTGCCCAAGCCGCTGCCGAGGGCCTGGTTCGACGACATCAGCATCCGCATCCTGGGCAGCGCAGAGGCAGTCGAGCAGGAGCTGACGGCGGTCACGGTGGGGCTGCGCGACGGTCTACGAGCACAGGGACTCTCGCTCGCGGACAAGACCGTCATCTTCAGCACCAACTACCGCACCACCAAGAGAGTACAGCAGGCGCTGCGCAAGGTGAACCTCCCCGTCCAGGCCGTCACTGAGGGCCGCGACCTGGGGATTGACCGAGGCGCAAGAGGCGCGCTGAGAAGGGACACCCACAGAAAGAGGACGAAGCACGCCTTCACGCGCTGCGGCCACGTGGGCAAGAAGCTCAGGAGGCTCAGGCTGCGGCGGAGGAGAGGCATTCTGCACCAAGGAGCGGTGGCCTCCTACATGTACGGCGCGACGGTGCACGGCATGGCACCCTGGGCGCGGCAGAAGGCGAGGAGGAGGTACGCACAGGCTCTGAGGAGGCCGTGGCCAGGCCGCTGCCTCACCACGTTCCTGGCGCTGGAGGGCGCCGACCCCGCGATCACCGCGGTGAAGGCGCAGCTGAAGACGTGGTTCGAGGTCTGGGCCCGCAGCCCCGACATCAGAGCACAGGTCAGGCTTGCCTGGCCGAAGATCTACTTCCAGCTCCGCAAGCTCAGGGCAGAGAAGAGGTGGCAGGCACGCAATGGGGCCGCTGGCCAGCCTGATCCTCCTGCTGTGGGAGGTAGGCTGGGACTCCAGAGGACCAGACGTCTGGATCGACAGGCAAGGGGACTACTGGAGGTTCAACACAGACGAGCAGGGCGGCGACTACACAGAGATCGTGGACGCGCTCCTGCAGGATATCCAAGACCAGCTGTGGGAGACGGCATCGCAGCACCACAACGGCGGAGGGCTACAATATGGCGCGGACGTGACCGACCTTAAGAAGCACCTCAACCAGCTCGCCAAGAAGGAGCACCACGGCACGTACGGCGCGCTCCTCACGGCAGCGCGTGCAGGCACCTGGACGAGGCGGCGCAAGCACGAGACCTTCGGCGGCGAGGAGGCCATGTGCGAGTGCGGCAGACCAGAGGATGATGCACACAGGATCTGGGGCCACTGTGCGGCCCGAGCCGACTGCGAGGCCATCCGCAAGACAGAGGGCTTGGCAAGCAGGGCCATCGAGGGGGGCCAAGGAGAACCCCGCCTTCTGGCTCAGAGGCATCACGCCCAAGAAGTGGACCACGCCGCCCAAGTGCGACACCCAACACGTCGAGCACACCGTGGGCGCCTGCATCACCAACAACAGGCTCTCCGCCAGCGACGGCGGCGAGATCGCGGGCTGCGGCGACGGCTCAGGAGGCGAGTACAGCGCAGACGAGAGATACTGCCGTTGCGGCTGGGGCTGGGTGCTGCTGAAGGAGGGCGACGACGCCGACGGGATCGCGGGCGCCAGATTCGGCCCACTGCCAGGACCGAGGCAAACCAACAACAGGGCGGAGCTCTTCAGCCTGATCAGCTTCGTCAACGCCACGGAGGGCAAGGCCAGCTTCTGGACCGACAGCGAGGTCACCTGCCTGGGCTGGGCGGCGCGACGCGAGGAGACCACAGGGCTCGGCTGCACGAACGGCGACTTGTGGCACCAGCTGGGCGAGGCGATCCGTGCGCGAGGAGGCGACCGCAACGACATCAGCGTGCACCACCTCAACAGCCACATGACTGAGCAGGAGGCCCGCGCGAAGGGCATCACGAGGCGCATCTGGGCAGGCAACCAGGCAGCCGATCAGTACGCAGACGCAGGCGCCAAGACCCACGCGATCAGCGACACCGAGATGAGCTGCTACGAGTGGGTGAGAGCGACGGCGCACCTGGTGAGGCTCAGGATCGCTGCAACCACCAAGGACGTCATCACCAGAAGGCCGCCAGACGAGAAGGAGATGAGAGAGGCCCGCCGCGCTCAGGCTAAGAAGCGACGGCAGGACACCGTGCGCAAGAAGGACCTGCTGGGGGACAACCACTTGCGGCGGCCGCTCACCCAACACGTTCTGGCACGGGACCGTCGAGGCACAGGCTGGACGTGCCTGAGCTGCTGGCAGTCGGTCTCCAGTACGATGACGGCGCAGAACATCCACAGCTGGCTGACGCAGGAGCGCAGTGGCCCACCGCCCGAGACGGCGATCACGGTCACCAAGTTCGGCGTCGAGTCGCATCCCACGCACAAGCTGAGGCGGCTGAGGAGGCACAACAGGTGGTTCTGCGAGAAGTGCGGCGGCGCCACCACTGAGCTGATCGCCAAGAAGCTGCAGGAGCCTTGCTGTGGACACACGGCATGCGACAGCGGGCACTACAGGCTACAGGGGTGGCTGAGGCAAGCGGCGCGAGAGCAAGGCACCTGCGACAGGTCTCGCGCACAGAGCGACCCTGAGGACGAGGAGGACGAGGAGCAGCTTGCAGAGGCCAGCAGCAGCCAGAGCACGGAGGTCGACACGACAGGGGGCACAAGTGGTGTTTCCTGGCGAAACAAACGGGAAGAGCCACCCTGCCGTCTGCGGGTGAAGTGCCGAGGCAACGCTGCTGGCGCGCTGGAGGCGACGAGGAGAGCTACGCCGCCTGCGGAGCCTGGCAGCCTGCCCGCCCCACCAGCTGCAGGAGCAGGCCGAGGGCCCGCGACGCGGGACAGGGCACGTCGGGCCGCGGCGGCCAGAGCGAGAGCGCGCAGCGAGGCAGCAGGCGCGCGACCCGACGGCGGAGACAGAGGAGAGCAGAGGCCACGGCGATCAGAAAGCGAAAGACGACGAGCTGAGGAGCCGATCGTGAGACGCCTGCTGGACGCGACCGCCGCCACACCAGCACCGACGCCGACACCGACGCCAGCACCACCAGCAGCAGCAGACCGACCTGATGAAGCTGAGGCCGCACGCCGTGCCGCCTCGCGAGCGCTGCTGGAGGAGGAGCGGTGGCGCGCGGCGCGCCCGCCGCCAGAGGCGAGAGGGGCCCGCGCGGCGAGCGCCGCCCCGCCGCTGCCGCTGGGCGCGCTGCGTCGGCTGCTGGACGAGGGCGAGCGGCCCGCGGGGCGGGTGAGGACCACGCGAGGCGGAGCTGATGGCAGACGATGTGGTCTCCCCGCCCCGCGGAGAGAGGGCTCGGCTGCGGAGCCGCCCGCAGGCCCCTCGGTTGCTCGGCACGTCCCCCTGTTGCCGAGGACCGAGGCGGCCTGAGAGGCGCCGAGAGCGGCGCCCCCGCGCGCGCGCGCCGACAGCGCCGCGCGGGTTGCCACGACGTGGCGGCTCGAAAGAGCTCGGAAAGAGCTCCTTCTCCTCCTCCTCCTCCTCCTCCTCCTCCTCCTCCTCTCCTCTCCCTCCTCCTCCTCCTCAGCGATCAGCCGGGCCCAAAGGGGCCCAGGTCCTGGGGATCGACGACCAGTGGCGTCCGTGTGGGTGTTTCCCCCTCCCGACCATGGGCGGGGCAGAGCAGGGAGGAGGGCGCTCCCCCCCCCCGCCCAGGAGCCCGGCGCCCTCCCCGCGCTCCGCCGGGTGCAGTCCAAGGACGCCCCACCCCACGGCGCGCAGCGCACGCCGTCGAAACGGGGAGGAGCGAGGAGGAGGAGGAGGAGCGAGGAGGAGGAGAAGGAGGAGGAGGAGGAGGAGCAGGAGGAGCCGGAGGAGGAGGAGGAAGAGGAGGAGGAGGAGTTTGAGGAGGAGGAGGAGGAGGAGTTGGAGGAGGATGTTTCGGTGCATTTTGACTATTCGTCATGGACTCTGGCATTCTGTTGATCCTGCTGATAGGCTCTTGGTCTGAACATTCTGGTAGGTCACCTTGAAGTAGTGGTCCCAAGGAAAGTCCCGGAGACGGTGTAATTGATTCCATGGCCAGGGGCTAAGATGTCCGTCAAGCGAACGTGCTAGGGTATGTATATGTGGTATCACGGGAGCGCCCGGCCCAGGCAGGGGGAGCGCGTGCGGACCTGTTAAACCTCTGAGCACAAGTTGTTGCGATAGCGCGAATCTTCATATTGCGTGATACGTTGCGCCGCCAACCTTCGGTGGGAGGGGAAGGGCGGCTCTTCAGAAGCCGGCGAGGGGAGCGTCAGTAATGAGTCCCCCCGCGGCCGGCCCGCGGGGACTCCGCGCACGGGCCGGCCTGCCGAACGGTACATCAGTGCACGCTGGAAGAAAAGCTTCAATCTCGTCAGGAAGTGCAGGTCCGCTTTCGACAAGATGATGAGCCGTGCCTGGAAGACCCGTGTCAAGTTTCCCGCGTCAAAAGATGACGTGTTCGACGCCTTGCGCCACTACGACTGTTTCGGACGCCGTGGCACTGGCGGTCCGATCTGGGATGCCAGACTCGAGGATGGCTCCAGCTTTACTCGGGGGACCAGCTGTACGACAAGGTTGACTGACCCTTTGAGCACGGTCCGATCAAGGGTCCCACAGGACAGTGGTGGTCTATTTATTTGTTCGGAGCTGACGTGTGTCAGGGACACGATGCGTGATCATGTTCTCACTGACGAGGAGCCCGATTTCAAAACGGCTTACCACGCCACTAAGTTGGCAGCTCTCGCTTTCATTTGAATAGTCGCGGCATGCACATGCTGAAGCCAGGACCTCTAGTACTGACAACGTATCCGGAGTTTACCGCCAGGGCGAGCACCGCCGTGGCAGCTGTGCTCACTAAGTGCTTCACGTGTCATCAGACGACAGCCTTGCGATGGATCTGCATGCGTGCATCTTCGAGGTGGAGGTCGACCGTGAGCGCCGCACGAACTATCCCAAGCAGCATGTCCATAGGCAGTGGTACCACGGCGAAGACAGCACTAGCATCGCGAAGCTTTGACCCATACTACGACGACGAGCGAGATTTACGATAAGACCGAGAAGCTTGAGCCTGCCTTCGGATGGCGCAACCTATGCAATCGGACAGATAGGATGTACCTTACGGCGAAGGTGTATCCATATGCTTTTCCGAGTATGCACGAGCACCCGGACGATCCGATCGAGGACCCTGATCTGAAGATGTTTGATCTCGGATCTCTTCGTCCCGCACTCGTACCGAGGCGTGAGCGCTGGCTCCCGCAGTGCACCATCGAGCTCAGTGCCGCTGCCCGCTTTTTCGGAGCGGGCGGGTACTCCCCTACTGGCCGCCCAACTCCGAGCCGAGGAGCTTCATGACCGAGATGGGTGAGCCTGCGGGCGAGTCCATGTCAGCTCATGGTGAGGGGAGTGAAAATCTCTCGAGAGATCTATCCTAGAAGCCTTCCCATATGTCTGTGTGTTCGCGTGGCCAGGGCGGCCACGTGCTTTTGATGACTGTGGGATGGCCGTCGAGATAAAGGGTATCCATGAATGGCTACGACTACTGCTGCGGCAAGTCTAATACTTTTGAGGTGATGTGAGGTTTCGGCTGATCGTTCGGTCGACAACGCAAATGCACGAATTGTGGTTGTTATTTACGTCTCAGCCTCTCATCCTTCTGCGCCTCCCTCTCACCTCCCCGCCCCGCGACCGTCTCGGATCGCAGGGCCCCTGAGCTGTGTGGCGCGCCGGCTGCGGGCTCGCGCGAACCCGTATAAAAAAAAAGGAAAGAGGACGTGCTGTCTCTTAGCACGGGTTTCCCCCATTTGCACATCGCGGCTGTGGGCTCGCGCGCACCCTTATAAAAGGAAAGAGAACGTGCTGTCTCTTAGCACGGGCTTCCCTCATTAGCACATCGTGTCCCTCTGTACTCCATGCGTTTACTGGGGAGGAGGAGGAGGAGGAGGAGGAGGAGGAGGAGGAGGAGGAGGAGGAGGAGGAGGAAGAGGAGGAGGAGGAGGAGGAGGAGGAGGGAGGAGGGAGGAGGATGGAGGAGGAGGGATGAAGAGGGAGGAGGAGGAGGGAGCAGTGCATTCCACACATTCGTGCCTCCTTACACCCGCTGGTTGGATCCAGCCCCCCACCAGGGCGACCGCCCGGGGGGGGGGGGCTACGTTCATCGCGCACGCCAAACCTTACAGCGCCAGCGCCAGGAGGAGGAGGAGGGAGGAGGAGGAGGAAGAGGAGGAGGGCGAGGGCGAGGGCGACGACGACGACGACGACGACGACAGCGACGACGACGACGACGACGACGACGACGACGACGACGACGACGACGACGGCGCCGGCGACGACGACGACGACGTTCGGTCCCCGAGAGGACTCCTGGGCCCTCCAGGCGATCCGCGCGGACGCCGGGGGCGGCAGCCCCCGCGACGGGCACGAACGCGTGCACCCGCTGGTGCGCGCGGCCTCCTCGGCGACGCCGCGCGCCGCGGCCCGCCGCCGCCGCCGCCGCCAGCCCCGGGCGGTCGTCGGAGGCTTTGTGGGACGCCCCAATCGCGTCGCTACCGATGCCGCTGCCTTCGCTCGTCTTGGCCTCCTGGTAAGCCTTCGTCGCCACGGCGGGGGGTCCGCCTTCGCAGCCTTCCTCGAAATTTTGGTCAGCACCCGGGGAGAGGTCAGGGGAGTTCTGGCATCGGCATCTCTGACATCCCCAGACATGCTCGCGTCGCGGCTGTTGCCGAAACCTTCCCTGAGTCCCGGGCGGTCCAATTTTTCCATGCCGGGCGTTTTCGCCCGCTTTTGGTCCCCGTGACCATCACGGATCGATTTGGTTCGACGGCTGCAGCAAAAAGATGGCGTGCTAGTTTTTTGGTCGTGATTGATTTTGACGTTTTGATTTGTTTGCATCGTCAGGTCGCTTCTAAGGGCGCCTCTCTCAAAGGTGGGCCAGTCGAGGCAGCGGAAGCGCACAGTGGCGTGTTGTTCGTTTGGTTTAGGGGTCTCCTGGTGGTTTCTCGTCGCCACGGCTGGGTCTGCCATTGAAACGCGTCAGGATGGACCCAGGAAGAAGCCCAGAAACCGATTTTGAACGCATGTGGGTTGGGCGGTAGAGTCGTCGTTGTCTCAATTGTCAGGAGGGGAAACACAATTAGTCGTCGATCTCCAGGGAAGTATTGGGAAGTGGGGGGGAAACGAAAGTCCAGAACATATGGCAAAATAAAGGGAATCATGGTTTTTGTGTCTACTTAGTTGTGTGACTCTGGGCCCCATTCACAATTGGCACTCCTCCGACCCTCGCGTCGCGCACAACATTCACATGCGATGCTGTTGCATCCAGCCTCCGAGTTTGCGGCCGAAGGGGAACTTCGACGATCAAAGACAATCTGCCAGGCGCAGAGAGGGGCAGGGGAGGGGGCAAGGTTTCTTAGAAGCACCCCTGCTTCTTAGAATGTGTGGGCCTTCTCTGTAGATGTAAAGCTGGCGCCTTCTCAGAAGGAACCTCTCTCTAAGAAGCCTTCCCCCATCCCCTTGCCCCCCTTCTGCGCGCCGCCCAAACAAGAGAAAGGGAGGAGGTGGGGAGGGGGGCAGGAGGGCGCCGAAGCTGGCGCAGGAGGAGAGGCAGGCAGGGAGGACGGGAAAGGAAGAATCATGGGAGGAACCTGTGTGGATAGAACGTCGAGCAGTGGCAAAGCTTTTGGCTCGCCTATAGGCCCACGAAAGAATGTTCTAATAACTGGTCGTGGTCTGCACGAAATGTTCTCAGAACATTTCTGGCTGAGACCGTCTTGGTTTAGCACATCGGGCTCATGCCCTAAGAACCTCGTTGTCGTTCTTAGAACGTTTCTGTGTTCTACGAACGTTTCGTGGTAGGCCTTGGGGAATGCCGGGACGGTCGGTCCCTGCTCAAGAATGGTGAAAGCGCGAGGAGAGCCTATTGTGTTACCCCTTTCCTCCACCTCTCTTCTTTCGCTTCTTCTCCACATTCCTTTTTTTCCTCGCCCGGCTCTGCTTTTTCAGGCCACCCCAGCTTCGGCCGCCCCTTTCCCCCGTCGGTGCGTCCCTGGACATTTTCTTCCTCACCCGAAGGGTGGGTGAGTTACAGCTTCGCCTCCCGCCACCCGTTGAGCAGCGCCTAAGTCCACTGCCACTGTCCGCCAATCCCGCGAGCGCTGATCCCAGCGCTGCAGCCGATGACGTCGGACTCCAAACCCGAATCCAGCACTCCATCTTGGGCAGCGCCAGCTCCCGCTACCACTGCTCGCCGTTCTGGCATGCGCGGATCCCAGCTCCATGGCCGATGACGTTATGCATCAATTGACCGGGTGGGGGGGAGACCCCTTGAAAAATGCAGCCAACATGCTGGACATTCCGAAACCTGTTGGGGCCCAACGGGCACCGATCCTTGATAGGGCTGCGCAAACACGGACCCCAAGTTGGTATATCCCAGGCCTGCCTTTTGGGGTATCTTTCAGGGTTCCCCCCTTTTACGAAAGGCCTCGAGGCGGGGGAGGCCCTCCCCTGTGGCCGGCCCCAGGCGATGGGATTGCGGGCCCAGGAAGATGTCGACAACGACGAGGAGGAAAGATGATGGAGATAATCGAGAGGACGAGGAGCAGCAGGACGATATCGAGGAGGAAAGATGACGAGGAGCAAAGATGACGAGGAGGAGGAGGAGGCGGAGGAGGAGGAGGAGGACGATATCGACAATGACGAGGCGCCAGAAAAAGGGTGTAGCGGGAAGATCAGCAGGACAAGCAGGCGGAGGAGGAGGAGGAGGACAGCAAGGTGGGGGGGAAAAGGAGGAGCGCTGACGGGGGAGGGGGAGGAGAAGGACAGCAGGAGGACGTAGCTATGATTATGGGGGGGGAGAACGAGAAGGAGCACGAGGAGCAGGAAACCGAAGAGCAGGAGCAGGGAGAAGGGAGGGTGACAAGGAAAGGGGGATCGACGTCCGAGGATCGACTTTCGAGGAGCCTGCGCGCTTCTGTTCTGTGCTTCTTGCCAGAAGCCTCAGGGGGACCTCGCGAAACTTCCGCGGACCTCTGGGGCCAGAAGGTTCACAGTGAGTGGGCTCAGAACAGGAGGCCCCGCGCGCCAGCTGGTTTATGTTTTTGATGAGTAGAAATAAGACATTAAACATTCGAATTTAAAAATCGAATCTTATAACTCCTTCTGTACACTCGCAAAATTATGTTACGCTGCTAGAGATTAAAAAAGGCTCATTGACGGTCAAAATCTCTTCTCGCGGCGCTCTTCGCTCGGAGAGAGGACCGGGAGGAGCACGAGAAGAGCAGCGAGGACGAGGGTGCTCTTGAGGAGGCCCGTCGGTCGGGGTCGCCCTCGATGCCCGGTGGGGGCCGGGTTCGGACGTCGCCACCCACGCGCGTGACGTCGGGCGTGTCTCCCTGCAGGGGGATGTTCGACGAAAAGGAAAAGATACCCCCAAAAATAGCCAAACAATAATCCCAAAATAGTCTGGGGGCTATTTTTTGAGCATTGTTGCTTTCCCTTCTTGGCGCATTTTTGGGGGTATCTTCTATTCTTCGTCGGAAATCCCCCCTGTAGGGGGACAGGCCCGACTTCACACGAGCGCTGCACCTCCAGGAGGGGCGCACCCGGCGCGCACGCTCGGCAGCAGTCAGACACTGTGCCACCGGGGGATCTCCCGCAGTTACCAGCGTGGAGCAGATCCCCACCCCTGTGCTGGGCATCTCCTCGTCACGATGCCAATCTTAGCGGTTCCCTTATTTCTTGAGGGCGGATCCCTGCGATTGGCATCGCCTCATCGCGATGCCAATCTTAGGGGCTCCCTTGATGTTTTGAGGGCGGATCCCTATAAGATTGGCATCGCCTCTTGGCGTGCCAATCCTAGGGATAGGGCTACGTTCGGGGCTGGTACTGCAGGCCCCGGCGCGAGGCTGGAGGAGGAGGAGGAGGAGGAGGAGGAGGAGGAGGGGGAGGAGGAGGAGGAGGAGGAGGAGGAGTGGAGGAGGAGGAGGAGGAGGGGGGGGGGAGGGGGGGGGGAGGAGAGGAGGAGGAGGAGGAGGAGGAGGAGGAGGAGGTGGAGGGGAGGAGGAGGAGGAGGACGAGGAGGACGAGGAGGAGGAGGAGGACGAGGAGGAGGAGGAGGAGGAGGCCCCCCACGGCGAGAGCAGGGCGGGCGCCGGGCGGGTGCCCGCCTCGGTGCCCCGCCCGCGGCCGGGCGCGGGGCCCGGGCCGCGCAGGGTCGGCCGTGCAAGTGCCCGGCCCGCAGGGCGCTCTGCTCCGCGCTCGCGCGGCTCGTCGACCGCGCTCTTTGGAGCCGACGACGACGGACGACGACGACGACGGACGACGACACGACGTCGACGACGACGGCGACGGCGACGACGACGACCAAGTGGGACAGCACAACCACCCTCCAGCCAGGGCCCCCCCCCTCCCTGCCCTGGGGACCCTGGGGGTCCTGGCTGGGGGGGGGGGGGGGGGGGGTTCTGGAGCTTTTTTTTTTTGATTCAGGCAAGTTTACTGCGCGGCGTTCGCCCCGTTCCCCCCCCCCCCCCCCCCCCCCCCTCCTCGCCTGCCCCCCCCAGTGGAGGGCAGGTGCGCGACCTTGCGTGACGCCACCCCCCCCCCCCCCGGGCTTGCTTCAGGCTCAGCCCCCCCCCTCCCCGTCCATGCAAGTAAACTTGCCAGAGTCTAAAAAAAAAACAGGCTCCAGTGCCCGGCCCCGCAGAGCGCTCTGCTCCGCGCTCGCGTGGCTCGTCGACCGTGCTCTTTGGGTGTGCACTTGTTTTTCAGTCGGGCGTGCCCCCCTACGGGGGGATTTCCGACGATAAATAAAAAAGACCCCCAACATGCCCTAAAAAGGTCCAAAGACACTCCAAAAATAGTCCCTGGACTATGTTTGGCTTATTTTTTAATATTTCTGGGGGCATTTTTTTATTTTTCGTCGAAAATCCCCCTGCAGGGGGACAGGCCCGACTTAACACTTGTTGTTCGCTCCAGGGGATTACGTCGAGGCCCGCGTGCCCCAAGGTGCTGCTGTTCTGGGGCGGGGCTGCTTGTGGCCGTCGACGGGGCGCCTCCGCCGTGGCCGCGATATTGCGAGCGCCATCGGCTCTGGGTCCGGGGGCTGCGCGAAGGCTCTGGAGTCCGCCCGCGCGGGCAGGAGGCCACAGGCGAACCCTGCCCCATCACCCCACGATTCGGGGGTGGATAGACCTCCTACCCTGACACGTTGATTAAGGAATTGGCCGTTTTCGGTTCGCGAGAGGGCGTCGCGGCCGTCATTTTGTTCGCGAGAGGGCGTCGCGGCCGTCATTTTTGCGGGTCCAGGTCCGTCGGTTTCCGTCCCAGGCCGTTTTCACTAAGGGGAGGTTTAGTAAAGGGAGGTCTATCCACCGCCGAACGATTTCTGAGGGGGGGATGTGGGGTTCACTTCGCTCGGGAGGCCCCAAGCGACGCGAATCTCAGCTCCCCCCCAGAAGTCCTGGTGTGGTGGCGTCGGGTTCGCACGCGGTTCCCGACTCCTGGCGGGGAGCTGTGGACAGCGGGGTGCACCCAGACTCTGTCCTTCCGAAGCACTGCGGGCTGCTGCGCGATGGCAGGCGTGGAAACGGGCGCGCGTGACGGCGGGGACGCCGTGTGCGGGGTGTGCCCGCGGGTTCGTCGGGCTGCGGGGCCAGGGGCCGCGGTCGCAGGCTCGCCCGGATTCGCGCAGCTGGCGGCGTCATGCCCCATTGGGTGCGCACAATTCCAGGCCGCCTAGACGAGGTCGCATCGCATCTCATTTCGCCGTGGTTTCACACCCTTTTTGTTGCCAATGCACCTCTGACGTGCACGGCTTCTCTCTCTCTCTCTCTCTAGACGAGGTCGGAGTAGATGGGGTCGGAGGATCGCGCCGCATCGCCGATGCATCGGCGATGCATCGGGGATGCGGGTCGATGTGGGGCCCAATTTGCCCCACGCCGACGTCGCCGATGCATCGTCGATTTCGCCGGTGCATGGCCGGTGCATGGCCGATGCATCGCCGATGTGTATCGGCGATGCGGCGCGATCCGCCGACCCCATCTACTCGGACCCCATCTAGGAGGCCTCTATCAATGCACAGCCGTCTGTGTGAAGAGACCAACCCGCCCTTGACAGCGGAAGCTGACGCGGGAATTGTTCGAATCATATGTTTATGTATATATATATATGTATGAAAAGTCAGTTGTGTGTGTTGATTTGTCTTTGCCTAAGTCCGGTGCCTTCAGAGGTTTGGGGAAGTACTCACAGGGTTTGCGGCGGTTGGCCGGCGGTCTCGGAGGCCGTCGCCGCCGTCGCCGTCGTCGTTGCCGCTGTCGTTTTCGTCGTCAGCGTCGTCCTCGTCCTCGTCGTCGCTCGTCGTCGCTCGAGCATCGGGGAGCGTCTGGTGACCCTCGTTGGGCCTTCGGCCGCCTTCCAGGGGCCTCCAGTGGCTGCCATCACCCACGCCGCCAGCGGCTGTTGAAGGTATTCGAACGCTTGTGGATGGTTGATCGGCTCTTGGCATGTTCTCGACTCGGAGGTCCTCAGAGCTTCTCGGAGCTTGTCGACGCCGCCGCCGTCGTCCTTGCCGACGTGTTCGTGGCCTGGCGTCGCTCGAAGCTCGAGGCAATTGCGCGCTTGGGCGGACTCGGCACTTCTCCTTGGGCCCTGCGGAGGGACCCTCCTAGAGGCCTCCAGGGGAACGAGGCCAGTCGCTTTCGCCGCCGCCGCTCTCGCCGCCGTCGTGCCGTCGCGTCGCGTCATCGCCCCAGGAGGCCTCCGAGCGGCCCCCGGGAAGCTCCCAGGAGGCCCCAGGAGTGCCCCAACAGGCTCCCAGGAGGCCTCCTCCTCCTCCTCCTCCTCCTCCTCCTCCTCCTCCTCTTCCTCCTCCCTCCTCCTCCCTCCTCCCTCCTCCTCCTCCTCCTCCTCCTCCTCCTCCTCCTCCTCCTCCTCCTCCTCTTCCTCCTCCTCCTGCCACTGTCGCCGCCGCCGTCCTCGCCGGCGTCGGCGTCGTCTGGGGCGCTCTCGGGGCACGGCCGCGGCCGCGCGCGCCGTCCCGGCGGTGGGCTTAGGACACGGCAGGGCCCTCGGCCGACGCACGCCCGCGGGGCGCCTCGTGCTGTGCTGCGCTCGAGTTGGAGGCAAGCGCCAACGCCAGCCACCTACTCACAACAAGACGCGACTCAACCGATGCTTTGATCAGGCCCCCCATCCTCATCGTCGCCGTCGTCGTCGACGTCGTCGTCGTGACGCCTCCCCTCCTTCCTCGGCCGCGCGGGGGTCCGCGGGGGAGCCCTCTTCCCCCGCGCCCCAGGCCGAGCCCGTGCGGCCTTCTCTCCGCGGCGCGTCCGCGTGCAGCTCCGGGTCGGGCTCCTCCCTCCCCCCGCCCTTGTCCGCTTGCCTTGTCCCTCGTCCGTTCTGGCCTCCCTCTCGCCCTCGCTCCCTGCTCCCTCCCTCCCTTCCTGCCTCCCTCCCTCCCTCGCTCCTCCCTCGCCCACCTCTCCTCGCCCTCTCCCTTCCCTTCCCCCGCCCCCCCTACCCCTTCCCCCCCTCCCCTCCCCACCATTCCCTCCCCCATCTCCTTCCCCCTCTCCCTCTCCCTCTCCCTCTCCCTTCCCCCCTCCAGCGCCTCGTGAGATTGTTTCGCGGGTGTCTGAGCCCTGGAGTCCTCCGTCGCCCCCCTCTTGCCTCCCCCAGTCCCTCTGGGGGCCTGCTCCCCCCGTCCCTCCCTGGGCCTCCCCCCAATTCCACCCTGGAGGAGGAGGAGGAGGAGGAGAAGGAGGAGGAGGAGGAGGAGGAGGAGAAGGAGGAGGAGGAGGAGGAGGAGGGGGGAGGGAGGAGGAGGGCCCCCCCCCCCTTCTGCCTCCTCCCAGGTCCATCCCTGGGCCTGCTCCCCCCGACCCCTTCCCAGGGCTGTGGCGGGGGGCGGGGGGGCGGGCCGCCCTCGAGGAAGGGCGGGGCCGCCCCGGGAGGTGAGCGGCACCGTGGCCGACTTCGTGTTCGGGAGCGTGCGCCCGGAGGACGGCCGCTCCCCGGGAGGGGGGGGTCCGGCTCCGAGGCCGGGGGGGGCACCGTCTGTCAGCCACGCGCAGAGGGGAGTGGGGGGAGGGGGGAGGGCTTCTTAGAAGCACCCCAGCTTCTTAGAAGGCGCGGGCCTTATCCATAGATGTAAGGCCGGCGCCTTCTAAGAAGCAGCCTCCTTCTGAGCAGCCTTCCCCCCTCCGTCCACCCCCTTTCTGCGCACCGCCAAGTCTGTCGGGGGCGGCAAGGAGGGGGGTGATGGCTAGGGGTGGGCGGGTATATCATGGCGGGGGCCATGATAGTTCCCCAGGTTGTATGGCGCCTCTTCTTATGTCACTGCGTCCCTGCCCCCCCCCCTCCATGGCCGCGCACGTGCATGCCGCCGGCCATGATTTGCACCCCCCCCTCCCTGGACACCCCCCTCTTGGCCGCTCCCGATTCTGGACAGGGTCCGGGCAGAGATCGGGCCGAGGTGTGAGGTCGAGGTCGGTTCGGGGAGGCTGCCCTCGTGTGCCTCGTGCCTGCTGGGTGCCCTCGTGCATCCAGGGGAGGGCGCCCTTGGATGTTCTGTGTGTGTTCCGCCGTTAGAGGGCCTCATGTGCTCGAAGGATGTTCTTCTGGCCCAGGTCCAGCAGTAGTCACATCAAGCTGCCTGCGCACACGCCGCATCTGACATCCTGCCCCTCCCTCCCACCGCTTCCCTTGCGTTTTCCCCCTGTCCGTCCACGAATGGCATGGCGGACCTGGGGCGCCCAAAACGGATCTCATCGTGCTACGCGCGATCCGAGGAAGGGGTGTGTGCACACTGGAGGAGGAGGAGGCGGCGGATGGGCAGGAGCCCGAGCAGGAGCACGAGCAGGAGCGGGCCAGACAGGCTCGCGTCGTGAGAGAGACACGGCGGGAGATGCTTTTTGGTAGTCTCGTCGGCCTCCGTGGACCCTCGCCATGCCCCGGGACGGCCAAGCAGCGGCCCCGGACGAAAAGACATCCCCTGCATGAAGGGCTGGGACCTCCGTTCCCAGGGGGGGTCCAGCCCAAGATTGGTGGGGAGGGGAGGGGAGTGGGAGGGAGAGGCGACGCCACCACCACCAGGGGGGCCATCTCCGGCGCGGAGGTCCACAGTGCCTCCACGAGCTGGGGACGGGGCATGTCGCGAGCGAGAGGGATGGACCCCACCACCAGAGCGGGACGCCACATGGCGCCTCCCGCTGGTCGTCCCCGGTGGTGGTGGTGGTGCCGCTTTTCCCTGGTCCAGAGGAGGGGAGGGGGGGAGTCAGAGCCTGTTTTTTTACACCCTGGCAAGTTTACTTGCATGGACGGGGGGGGGGGGGGGGGCGCGGAAATCACGCAAGTCGAAAGGCACTTGCACGCTAGTATTCGCTTGAAGAGGGGCGAAGGGGGGGGGGGGGGGGGGGGGGGGCGAACGCCATGCAAGTAAACTTGCCTGAATCCCCAAAAAAAAGCCTCTCAGAGGATGAGAGGGTGCCGATGCCGCTGCACTTCGCTCGCTCATCGCCCTGTCGGGCCTCGCGGGAGGCCTGCGTCGCCACGAAGCCGGGTCCGCCGCGGAACTGTGGTCGGAGCGCCGCCGCGGAGAAGGGCCGGGCAGCAGTGGTACAGAACCCTGAGATCCGATGCCTTAATTCCCAACCATCCTGTGGTGTTGGGTCCTCGTTTTGAAGAGACGGTGGCCCGCGTCTCCTCTCCTCCTCCTCTCCTCCTCCTCCTCCTCCTCCTCCTCCTCCTCCTCCTCCTCCTTCTTCTCCTCCTCCTCCTCCTCCTCCTCCTCCTCCTCCTCCTCCCACCATCATCATCGTCATCCGATGTCGTGGTTTTTTCGATGCGGGGTCCCCGGGAATCTCGACCCATCCCCCAGGGCCGGTGGTTCATCCCGAGGCGTTTTCTGACGGTCCCTGCCGGGCCCAGCGAGGGCCCCCTCTGGAGGCCGGAAGCGGCGCACCACCTCGGTCTTGATTTTTTGGCATGCGCCGGATCTCTGTGTGTTTTTTTTGGCTTCCCCCAGGGGGGGGGAGGAGAAGGAGGTGGAGGGCTGAGGAGGAGGAGGAGGAGGAGGAGGAGGAGGAGGAGAAGGAGGAGGAGGAGGAGGAGGAGGAGGAGAACGAGGGGGAGGAGGAGGAAGAGGAGGATGACGAGCAGGAGGAGGGGGAAAGGTGGAGGGGGAGAAGGGGGATGATGATGATGATGATGAGTCGCAGCCATCCGGCAGGTGGGGCTCCGCGCGCGCGGGGCTCGGCCAGAGGGCCGGGTCCTGCAAGAGGCCCTGGCCGTGGCCGGGGTTGGGGGGGCCCCGCGCGGCCCTCGAGAGGCACGCCGTCGAGGCAGGTGCGGCACGCCGTCGAGGGGCAGGTGCGCACTCTGGTCCTGGCTGGGCGCGGCTTTCGTCGCTGGCTGGTGGCCGCGAGAACGGGAGGAGGAGGAGGAGGAGGAGGAGAGGAGGAGGAGGAGGAGGAGGAGGAGGAGGAGGAGGAGGAGGAGGAGGAGGAGGAGGAGGAGGAGGAGGAGGAGGGAGGAGAGGAGGAGGAGGAGGAGGAGGAGGAGGAGGAGGAGGAGGAGGAGGAGGAGGAGGAGGAGGAGGAGGAGGAGGAGGAGGAGGAGGAGGAGTGGAGTGGAGCAATCGGACGTAGTCCGTTCGGAACCCAGAGATGCCAGGGGGGCCATCCAGTATTTCTCGGAGGGCCGTGGGGGGCGACATCCCACGGCCCACCGCGACAGGCCCCCCTGGCCTCACAATTTACTCGGAGGCAGCTCCCGCCGCGTAGGAACCGATCGCGGCTTCGGCTGCCGAAACGTGCAAAGCCTCTAGCACAGACTTGCTGGGACCCGATCTGGACGGGTGGAGGCCTCGCCTGATCCTGCTGAGGTTCTCGAGGCCTTTGCCAGTGGGTCCCAGGGCCCTGCGCTCTCCCACTTGGTGGGAGAGAGGGCACGGCAAAAGTAGGCTTTTAACCTGGTGCGTGGCCGTATGGCCGCACTTAACACAGAAGAACAATTGCCACTTGGGGATGGTGGCCAAAGTGTGGGAGGGGTGGATCAACTTGCCACTGATCACGCGGGGACCCCTCGACCACAGCACCTCTCCACACGCAGCGAACTCGGGGAGGGGGCAAGGCGGCACACACTCTGTGGCGGCAGCTGGAATAACGTGACACGCGTCAGCGATGATGAGGCAGGCAGGGCATCTCCATTTGTCTGCACACCGCTCGAATTTGTGCTGAGAAGCCGCGATCGCGGTCTGCAACTGAGAGCGAGGGCCTGCCTCCTGGGTGGGTTGCCTCTCTGGCCACAGTCCTCGAGGCTCTGAATTCTTGCCTAAAGAACGTAAAATCAGTCGTGCCCTCTGTCGGACGATGGCTGCAATAGCGTCGTATTCATCGGTCCTGGGGACGGGCGGGAGGGCAAGGGTGGCCGACTTGTGGGCCGCGCTTCCCGCGAGCTCGTCGGCATGCTGGTTGCCGAGAGCCAGAAGTTGAAACGTGAGGGGATCGGCGTGAGATGGGGTCCAGAGCACCGTGACCGAAGACCAGCCGCCAGATCGATCCTGCACGAGGTGCCGAATTCTCAGCCAGAGATCCCCATTCTTATTCTTGCCTCTGAGGCTGCCAGGTCTGAGACATCTGCCATTCTGCCAGCCGCGCTGCAGGGCTAGGTGATCAGTAACAAACGTGAAATCCTGCTGGCACGTCTCCAGTGCCAGGCAAAACGCATGCAGTTCGCCTCTTGGGACGGTCTGGCGGGGGCCTGGGAGGGGGGCGAGGAGGCCAGCGTGGAGGGACCAGGAGGCCGAGGGAGGGTCCCATCGGAGGGCCGCTAGGCCAGAACCAACACGGCGTCGCCTGACGTCGTCGGAAAAGGCGCCGCCAGACCCGTCGCCAAAAAGAAACAACTCGCCCTCAGCGTTACGAGCTCCTTCCCACGACGGCAACCCCTCCCGCACCGCACCAACAAGCTCCCACCCGTCCCTCCCAGTCAATGGCTCGAACGCGGGCGTAGTGAGAGCGACAGAGGGGATGCCACGGAGCCACAGGGCAGGGTCAGCATTGGCCCCCGCCACGGCTCGCGGTAGTAACTTGTCACTGGCCTCAAACTCAGGTCCCACATTCGCCTCGCACTGCCACATTCGGTGAAACAAGGTTTCAGGAACTCCTGCGCTGCATCGGTCGCAGTTCTTGTCGATCTGGTAGCCCGCGTTGTGGGGGCGGTCTCTGGTCCATTGTCCACCACTGATGACGGTGTTGTTGAGGGCCCAGTCGCTGAAGTCACCGTTTGCGAGGAGCCTCCTTTGTTCAATGCGGATAGTGACCATGTCCGCACCTCCAGCCAGCGTGTCACCATGGTCATGCGTAGCGGCCTGAGTCCAGAGGAGCCTGTGCAAATCCTCGCTGAGGTCCTGCAATACTGCGTGGATGCCGAGGCATCGGCCCGCTGCTGCTCCCGTGGCCGCAATGGCGGCCTGACGTCGCCATCGTAGTAGAGCGTGCCGAGCGAGGCCGTGCACCTGATGACCGAAAACTCCTTCGGGGAGAGCGCCAGTACGCCACAGTCCTGCTGAGATTCGAGCCTGCTGTGCAGTGCTCCGTAGTCGGTGTATCTTGCGAAACCTAGCTGCGGCTGAGCTCTGTCGCTTCCTGGCTTTGGCTTGTACCCGTCGGGTAGCCGCAGCCGCTTCAACTCCGAGGTCGACGGCCGTGGCGGTCGCAGTAACTGGGATGTCGTACTGCCGCAACTTCTTGGCTAGCGATTTGCGGACCTTGGGGGTGGAGCCGATGAGGACCGCCTTGTCAGAGATAGGCAACTCGAACTCCTTCAGACCGTCGCAGAGCGTCTTGGCGGCACGGGGGGGGTGCTTCTGTAGTGTGCGTAGGACTCCTTCGACTCGAAGGACAGTGTCGTCAACGAAGGTCCACATCTGGGCAAGCTCTGCCTGGGCTTGGGCTTGCCGTAGAATAGGAAGTAATATGAGTCGTGCCAAGGTCGTGCCGTGCGGGGAGCCTGCGATGATGCCTTTGGAGGCGAAGATAGGCATACTCACCCATTGTCGACTGCGCAAGAATCTGGGCGCCAGGTATAGCTGTACTTCCAGTAGTAGAATGATGGGGGGGAAGCCGCAGTTGAGGCCGACCATAATGAGGTTGGCGAGCTTGATATTGTCGTAGAACTTCTGGATGTCTAATAGCAATGTGGCTGACTGTATGCCAAGTGCTGAGGCTGTCTCGTCTAACAAGGCCCTGTGTAGGGCGGCCTGGAGAGCTGAGGAACCTTTGATGGCTGTAGTCCAGAAGTCGTCCAGGCCTTGGGTCCAGGATGTAGATGCAGTCGATCTGATGCGAGACCAGAGTCTGGCCATGTGAGGTAGCATGCCGAGGACCGTGTCGCCTCCAGACTTCTTGGCTGCGAGGGCTGCAATAGTGCCTGAGATTTGTAGTGGCCAGATGCCTGCATGCTCTACTGCGTTGAGGATCTCCGCATAGGCTTCGACTGCTGGTTCTGGTGGTCGATGGAGGTCGCGAGGTCCAAGGGCGTCAACTCCATGTGCTTTACTGGGTGGCATGCGGCCGTGAAAGCGGTGTACGATCTCGGCTGTGATGGGCTCGAGCGGTTGGCGAGCGGCTGCTGCCTTGGCCTTTGACAGCGCCAGTAGGATGTCGTCAGGGGTCTCGGTGGCCTGCCATACTTGTTGCCATTGTTGCTTCTTGCTGTCCATGATAACGGTGGGGTCGGCGATGGTCTGGTTGGTCGTGTAGGCCTCGATGTGACGTACGGGCGCAGGCTTGACATGGGCGTGTAGTACTCCAGGGCGGTGTTTCCAATGCTTTCTGAGCCAAGCACCGTAAGCCCTCTTGGACTTAGCGAGGGCGGCGGAGAGCGCTCTGGAGGCCCAAGTAGCGGTAATAGTGACCAAGTCGTCAGTGTCCTCATTGTCCAAGTGCGGGGCCCAGACGAGTGCAAACCAGCGGAAAATGGTGTCCTCGTCCTTCTCGAACTGGAGGTCGTGAAAGTGAGTGTTGAAGTAGTCCGCGCGCTGCTGGAAGATGGAGGCCTGCTGCTGCATGAGCGCTGCGTGCTTGGGCTTGTCGTGAAGCGCAGCGTAGCGCTTGATGAGGGTGAGCGTGATTGCCCACCATTCCGACTGAGGGTCATGTACGTGTACGCGGCTTGGGGCGGCGGCCGTCTTCTTCCAAGACAATTGGTAGCCTTGGGCTCGGCCTGTGAATGCTGCGGCTTCCTTGGGGTCGATCTGGTGGTGGCTGATCATGGTGTTCTCGAGCGCCGTGACCCATTTGGCGTACTTGAGGTTGAGGTCGTCGGCGTCGTGCACCCAGTGAGTGTACGCGAAGTGCGCGCGAGGCTGCTTACAACGAATGGGTACAGCTTGCTGCCATTGTTCATCCCAGAGGTCGCTCGGGATAGCGTACGGGATAGGCTCCTGTGCTGCTGGCTCGTCATGTGGCTGGAGTTGTGCTGCTGCTTGTTGGAGCTCAGGAGGTAGATCGCGTAGGCGTGCTGCTCGAGCTTCTGCTGTTTTACGTTTCTTGATGGCGGTCTTGCTGTTGGGGTCTGGTGGGATCCTAGGTCTGTCCGCTATGGGGAATGCCCTAGGGGTATGGATGGACTGATACCACCAGGGGTCTGCGCTGCCTGCTCGAACTTCAAGGCCCACGTGGGTGGCCCAGGGGGCGGTGGGGCACTGGCGAATGGAGAACGTGTGCTCGATGCCAGTCTTGACCAATGCGAAGTCGAGCGTGAGTCCCTGGCCCTTGTCGCACGTGGCGGATCCAGGCGCTCGCACGATGGTAGCATTCCATTTGGCGGGCCACTCTGTTGCTGCGAGCTGTTCAGGTGTCATATTCCAATCGGCCAGGATGATCCACGGGTCAGTGAGCATAGTAACGAAGGCTCCCAGCGAGAGTAACTTATCGCGCACTGCACCTTCGATCTGCCTGTGGGGTTCCAGATACGCTGCAATAACAACCAGGTTGCCAGAGCGTCTGTGCCATACCATGGGCGTGAAGCCGCGGAACGGGTCGGGCCTGCGCTGGGAGATGGCCAGGTCGCGGAGGTGGTTGAAGGTTGTGGCCTGGACATGGTACCTGGAGAGGATAATCTCGCCACCCGTGTTGCCTCCGTCGGATCTGCTGGTCGGCGTGGCTGTAGTCGATGATATCCTCCAACCGTCCGCTGCTAACTTGTCGTAGATGAGATGCGTGTTTCAACCAATGCCACCATCTGATATTGTTTGCCTGGCCCCGCCAGCCATTTCTCCGACTGTGGCCCCCCCTGAGTAATGTTGGAGAAGAACAGGGAGTGATCTGACGGCGTGGGATTCGTAGGGCGTTCGTCTTGGTAGACGGGTCTGGGGTCGGGTCTCGGGCTGCTGGGCTTCCAAGGGCCTTTCGCAGCGGTCAAGTCGATAGCTTTCGCCATCTCATCGCCCCCTACCAAGGACTGCGTCTTGGGCGGGGCGGCATCAGGGTGTGCCGTTGGCAACGGCTCCCCTGGTACCTGTGCCATATGCCTGTCGACAGCTTGGGCCGTCTCATCGCTCCCTACCGAGGACAGCGTCTCGGGCGGAGCGGCATCAGGGTCGGCTCGCGCTGCACGCTGCGGCTGCCCTGGGTCCCATGTCACTGTGTCGACGGCCTGTGCCGCCTCATCGCCCCCAACCGAGGACAGCGTCTCGGGCGGGGCGGTAGCGTACTGCGCTGTGGCTGCGAAAACGATGTGGGCGTCCAACTCGGCCAGCTCGTCGAACGGGCCGAGGACTGCGTCCATTGTGTTGATGATCGGTGGGTTGTCGTAGCTCTTGGTCTCTGACGGTAGGCGTCCCGTCTCACCAATCCGTCCAGGGTCGGGTAGTAGTCGGCTAAAGAGGCTGCTGGGCTCCAGCCACGGCGGTCGCGGTGGGCTTGCGCATCTGGCTGAGCATCTTCTGCGCCTTGTCTTCGAGGTCGGGGTCCTTGTTGATCGCTGGTACAGGCTGTGCGGCGAAGCTGCCGTCAGAAGTAGCGCCAGCAGCAGGTGCGGGAGGCTCATCGCCTGGCGCCGCTGGCGAAGAGGCCGCAGAGCCATCAGCGTCCGCTGCGGCTGCCGCTGGGGGTTCGCCTGCTGCCGCCGAGGCGGCGGGCGGCGGTCCACCTCCCTCTCGGGCGTGACCGTCCTCGTCGGACCGCTGCCGCTTGGAGGCGAAGCGCGTGCGCATGGTGCTGGCCTCTGCGCGGAGCTGGCTGATGCGGCTGGCGGTGTTGCCGAAGAGCTCGGTGACCTTGGCCTTGAGCTCCGTGGCGAAGCGCTGTTGGAGGGATTCCCATGCCTGGCGGTCGCTGTCGTCGATGTCAAGGCCTTGGAGATCGAACGCCGAACCCGCCTCGATGGATATGTCACCGTCCTCGAGGAGGCTGGTGAGGTTGAACGTCGGGTTCTGCTGCGAGGCCGTGGGAGTAGCAGTGCCGCCCTTGCGAGCGACTTGGAGTGCATCGAGAGCGGCTTGGGCCTCGGCCTGGGCTTCTGCCAACTTGTAGGCGGCCTCCTCCGACGCCGCCTTGCGCTCGGTGTACCAGCTGAGCGCCTTTGTTCGCTCTCGAGCAGCCTCTCCAGGTTGTTCTTGCAGCGGCGCTCCGTAGCCTGGGCGCGGCTGTAGATGTCGTTGAGGTCGGCTGGCTTCTGCGGCTGGGGCGGCGGAATCTGCGACTTGATACCGTCGATGGCTGCCTTGTCGATGTGGGGGGCGATCGCCTGGAGCTCCGCAAGGATGTCCTCTGCGGAGCGCGCCTTGGGGGTGTCGTTCTTGTTGGCCCACCAGTCGTCCTCTTGGTTCTTGCCATTGCCATTGCCGCGGCGGCGGCGGGACTTGGGCCATGAAGCCCACGGTTCCCATCCACCCTCAGGGCTGGGCTGCTGGGTGCAGCTGGAGTCGGCCTGGGCTGCGGCCTTGGCGCGGGCCGCCCAGGCACCTTGAACTGGAGGCGGGGAATCTGTCCACGGCGCCAAGGCTTTGCTGCACCAGTAGCACGTCTGGTTGGTCTTGTAGTTCCAGGCGTACGAGCAGGAGTAGCACTTGACGTAGGCGCTGCGCTGCTGCGGAGGCGCCATGGACGAGCTGAGGAACAGAGGAAGCTCACCTGCGGGCTGCAGGAGGCACACGGAGGGTTGAACAAAGCTGTCGGGCTCAAGAGCCCTGGCACTGGCCGCGGACTAGCGGTATCCACTTGTTCCACTGTGGAACTAGGCATCTTGAGCCAAAATGGCTACGGAAGAGGAGGAGGAGGAGGAGGAGGAGGAGGAGGAGGAGGAGGAGGGGGAGGAGGGGGAGGAGGAGGACCGCGGTGCCTGCAGGCGCACTGCGGCGCAGGCTGCTGAGGTGCTCCAGAGAGCACGGCTGCGCTCTCGGCCACGGTGCAGCGCTCGCAGCGTGCTGCGGCTCCCGCAGGGGCCATCATCCTGCTGCGCGCGGTTGCGTCTGGGGGCGCCCGCACGCTGACGGCGGTGCGTGCTCGGTTCGCGGGTGGCTTTGCTCGCGCACCGTGACTGTCTTGGCAGAGTTCGGCGCACGCTTCCGCGCACTGGCGCTCGCAGGGTGATGTGGTTTCGGCAGGGTCTGCCTGCCCTCTCCTCCCCGTCCGTCCGGTGGTGGCGGTCACGCGCGTGGTGATCGCGGGCATCTTGTGGTGCGCGCAGGCGTTGGGGCCGACCTTCGCTACCAGGCTGAGGTGCGCGCGAGCGCTACGGTGATGCCCAGGGCACACTGCGGTGCCAAGAGGTTGCAGCACCCACCGCACAAGCCGCGGACCGACGATGTGGCAGCATTTCTTCGCGATACTTGCACAAAGGAGTGACGATCAGTGGTGATGGACCTTGCGTGATGGGCGAGTTTGGAGGTTTCGCGCGTGTCCCACACAGGAGGGCGCGCAGCGACACAACCACGGATGACTGATTCGATTTGATTATGGCGCCGCGGCGCCCTCGCCTAGCCCCGCGTAGGGCCGTCCCCTCGGCTAGGCGCAGCCACAGCTCAGTCGCTGCCCGCCTCTCCTTCCCCCTCCCTTCCCTCCCAATAACGCCCGCCCTGGCCACGCATGCAAACATTCTCTCAAGCTCCCGCAAAAGAGAAGACACCAAGTGTAATGGCCTTTTTCGGTCCTCTGGAGGGAACCTCCAGAGAGGAGGAGACGGACCATGACCGGGGACGGATGAGGTGGGACGTTGGGCGAGGAGGGAGGGAGAAGTGGGGCAGGAGATGGGAAGGACGGGAGGTTGGTGTGGGGGAGGATGGAGGAGGGAGGAGGGACAGGAGTGTGAGGACATGGTAGTGTGGAGGCATGGGGAAGAAAGGCATAGGGGTGGAAGCCAGAGGAAGGAAACGGTGGCAGAGGAGGTGGAGGCGTGATGTGGATGAGAGTCGTTGATGCTTCGAGTTCCTCGGACATCTCTCAGCCTCCTGGAGGCCTCCCAGAGGGCAAAATCTGGGCTCCTCCTGGGGAAGTGTTCGGAGCGGCGGACACCATCTTTGGGCCACTGTGTGGTTCAGTCGGGCTAGCTTGGGATCGTTCTGGAGGCCATCGATCGAGCATGGGAACGCTTCCTATCAGCACCCCTCCGCCTCCGGAGCCCGACCTCTCGTTGCTTGGAGCTCTCTCTGGGCCCTGACATTTTCCGGTGCAGCGTGTTGGTTCCTTCAGGGCTTCTTTTCGCGCTCTCTTGGGGCCATCTTGGAACGATATTCTGGAAGCTTCGCGCAACCCCACCAGCCCATCCAGAATCGATGCCCAGACGAGCGGCCTCGAACAGGGACGTGGAGAAGCACGCAGTGGAACAACGGGCTGGGTAAGACGTCTAACCCCAAGAGGGGGATGATGGAGGAGAAGTCAGAGTAGGGAGAGGGGGAGGGGGAGAAGGGAGGAGGAGGAGGAGCAGGAGGATGAGCAGGAGGAGAAGCAGGAGGAGGAATAGGCGGATGAGGAAGAGGATGATGAAGATGATGAGGATGACGATCACGATCACGATGGCGATGACCATGAAGATGACGATGACGATGACGATGAGGGTAAGGGTGAGGGTGAGGATGAGGATGAGGATGAGGATGATGGTGACAGTGACGGTGACGGTGAAGGTGACGGTGATGATGACGATGTTGATGTTGTTGATGATGATGATGATGATGATGATGATGTTGATGTTGGTGTTGATGCTGATGTTGTTGATGATGATAATGTTGATGCTGATGCTGATGATGATGCTGATGATGCTGATGATGATGATGATGATGATGGTGGTGATGATGATGATGGTGATGATGATGATGCTGATGCTGATACTGATGCTGATGATGACGATGATGATGATGCTGGTGGTGATGATGCTGATGATGATGATGATGGTGATGATGAGCGACCCCGGGGGCCTTTTGGAGCGTCTTAGGTGCCTCGGGGGAGTCTCTCAGGAGCTTCTTGGGGACCTCGTGGAGGCTCTTCGGGCCTCCCTGGCACCTCTTGGGTCCTCTTGGGGCACTCTAGGGAGTCTTGGGGGCCATCTTGGAAGAGGTCGATCAGAAGGGGAGGTCCAAATAACGTTTCGCCCCAGGAGGCCAAAGTACAATCAATGGTGTTTGCCTTTCTGTCGAGGCCATCTTGGACCTCCTGACGCCTCGCGTGCTAGGTCCAGTCGGGGGGAGTAATTAGGGGGGGCCCCTCGCCGAAGGGGAAGAAGGGGTTTTAATGAGTAGACCCGCTGAGCCACTCGAGCTGGTGGCACTCGACACGTCGAAGGCCCATCGATAGTGAGCAGGCGGGAACGCACACGGCACCGGCAACCAACTGTAACGTCAATCGGCTGGGCCTCCTGGGAGGAACCACCGCCACCAAGCCTTGTGTCGGGCGTGTCCCCCTACAGGGGGATTTTCGATGAAAAAACAGAAATACCCCAAAAAGGTTAGGACATACTCAAAACATAGTCCCGAGACTATTTCTGGATTATGTTTTGGGTGTTTTTTTTTGAAAAAAATCCCCCTGTAGGGGGACAGGCCCGACTTAAACCAAGCCGGCCGAAGATGTCCTCCAAGACGGTCCACAATGGCGTCGAACAAAAGGCATAACAAGATAAGGCCATGCAGGGCACGACAAGACGAGACAATGCGGTGCTAGACTGCAGAAAGCGTGGCTACGAGACGACCCGGGAGGCGCCCAACCGCGACAAGCAGTGTTTTCGGTATCTTGACAGTGTTTAGTCTCATTCGTATCTCGGACTTCAGAGCGCCCAGGAGAGCCTAAAGAAAGCCCCAGGACAGTCCACCAGAGCCCTCGGAAGGTCCAATGGTAGCCCCAATGCGACCCAGAATAGCTTCGACATTGTTCAAGGAGGCTCCCCGAAACACCCCCAAGATACCCCCACAGCCCTCTGAATCGTGACGCGGTCGTCGCACTCGAGCGTGACTGGCAGCAACATGGTCTCACGATGCCCCCAGAGGCCTCCGAGGCCCCGTGAGGCCCCCAGAGGCCTCCAGAGGCCCCGAAGCCGCCCCCAGGAGGCCTTCGAGAGGCCACCGCGATGGCGACCCCCGCCTGAAAGAGGCCAAGAGTGGTGCAACGTGCGCGTTCCGCTGCGATTTGACTCAGCTCGGATTGTCTGTCGAGGCAATGCTGCTCCGCCAGCAGCGCACGTCCGCACCATACCCAGCCACACAGGCATTCCACAGCATTTGATCTACACTCATGTTTGCGCACGTGCGCAGACACACACACACACACACACACACACAAACACACAAACACACACACACACGAACAAAAACACACGCACGCACAAGTGTTCCTTCATTGTCTGAATGATGCGCGTCGAAGCGTAGTAGGTACGCTATGGTCGTGACAGATGGTCATGTTCATGACAAGTATCGGGCCTTTGTTCCCGATGTTTTCATAATGGTTTGACCGTCGGGGTGGACAACCGCCCGACGGCAACGTTGTCCCCAATCACTAGTGTGATACAGACAAGGTTTGTTCATGCTGGGTGTCGGTCATGTTCTCCATCCGTACGCGCGTATGTTTATGGAATCGCTTCGCTCATTCCGCCGGCCCGCATTGTGTGATCGCAGGCGTTTGCTGCTTCTTGGAGCCTGTGGGGGCTGTTTGGGGGCCTCTTTTTGGGCCTCTTGGGAACCTCGTGGTGCCTCCAGAGCTCTCTTGGCGGCCTCTTGGGGCCTCCTGAGGGCCTCTTGGGGCGGAAGGCTCGACTTGGTGCCTCGTGTTTCCCCTCTTTGGCTCCTCTTTGGCCCCTCTTGAGACTGTCTTGGGGCCCTCTTGGGCGATCTTGGGCGCCTCTGGGGCCGTTTTGGGACTCTCTTGGCCCTCTTGGGCCGTCTTGAGGCCCTCTTGGGCCATCTTGGGGCTCTCTTGGAGGTCTCTTGGGCCGTCTTGGAGCGATATTTGGGGCCTATTGGGTCGTCTTTTAGAGTCGGAAAGCCGAACGGATGAGAACGCCAAAATCCTTCAACAACGTATGGGAAATCGATGTTTTTTGCCTCCTGGGGCCCTCTTGAGACGCTTCTTCAGGCATCTGTGGGCGTCTTGGGGGCGTCTGCGGCCGTCTGGAGGCTGTCTTGAGCGTTTTGGACCGATCGGTCGGCGACTCGGAGCCCTCTTTGACCGTCTTGGGGGCTCTTGGGGCCCTCTAGGAGCGCTCTGGGGCGCCTGAAAGCCGCGCCCAGAAGGAAAACCATCTGAGGGTCGGACCGCCCGGGGTCCTTCTCGTCCAGGGACCCCCAGGAGCCGCCCCGCGCGCGCGAACTAGACATATTGTTTACCAGTAGCAGGAGATCTTAGCACGCCTCTGGCTCGTTGGGCCGGCGAATTCTGCTCCAGTGTGGTTCGGTTGCGGATGAGTGTGGAGCTCAAGCTGAGTTTTGTTGTTACGTTGTTTATACGTTGAGCCAAGGATCAGTTTGGGATTCGAAAGGGCTTGCTGCTCCTGAGGTCATTCCATGGCTGCTCCTCTAGCGTTACTCGTGCACCCAGGCGTTTTTGGGACCGGGAGAGGGGCTCCGTTCCTTCTTCGGCGTTCCTCCTGGTAGTACCTTGGCTGTGCGCCAGGCCCAGACATCGACAACGCAACCATTCGAAAAGCGCGGGTATGTACGTCTTTCCGCGTTGTGCTGGGGGGGCCTCCCAGGAAGCGCTGACTGGGCTCGCGGAACAGGCGATCGCCCAAATTATTTGCGCCTTGATGATTGGTGAACTGCGAGCAACATGAGGAGCAGGAATCGGGCGGACGATGACATGAATGATTGGGCGATGGAAAGGAGAACACGGGATGATGAGAGGGGAAGGATGACAAGACAGAGGAGGGGAAGGACGTCTCGTCGGAGGAGGAAAGCCGGTATGTGTGTGTGTGTGCTTGTGTGTTTGTGTGTTTGTGCATGTGTGTGCGTTTGTGTGTATATGTGTGCACGTGTGCGTGTGTGTGTGTGCGCGCGCGTGTGTGTGTGTGTGTGTGCGTGTGTGTGTGTGTGTGTTTGTGTGTGTGTGTTGGCGGTGGGGCGGGGTAGCTGAGGATGAGCCCAGGGGAAAAGGAGGGGAAGGATAACAAGGCGCAGCAGCAGCCGCAGGAGGAAGAGCAGCAGCATGGAGCAGGACAGCAGGGAGCAGGGTGGGGAGTAGGAGGAGGCGCGGCAGCAGCGGCCCCCGCGCGAGGAGCCGCAGGATGGTCGCGGCGACGACGCCGCCTCCCTCGGGGATGTCGTCCTCAGCGTGCGATCGGTGCCGAACGCTGGGGGCTCAGACTGCCTCCTCGCCCCGTTCCGCCATGTTCAGAGAAAAGAGGAGGATGGGTGAGGGAGGAAGAAGGAGGAGGAGAGGGAAAAGGAGGAGGAGGAGGAGGTGGCCCGTAGCCATCTTGCCTCAAGTAATCCATTTTTCGAGGTGGCTTAAAGTGAGCTATAGCTTTTGCCCGCACGATCCCTGCTTGAGCCTGCCGGAGGCCCTGCAGGTGTCCTGCCACAAACCGCTCCACACCCGTAGGTGATCATTGATCTCGCAATGAGGCGTTGTTTTGCCACAAGAAGAAATGTGTTTTCAAGACGAATTTCGCTTGGAATACATTGTTTTACATGTGTTGCACGGCTCGTCCCCCCGCTCCTCCTGTTTGCAGCCTCCCGGGGCTCAAGGGGATTGAGCCAACGGGCCGCCAAGCGTGCATAAACCCAAATACAAGGTGCTCGAGCTTGAGCAGCTGTCCAAACGTGTGCGTACGGCCGACGGCGACTTCGATGCGTGCAAGAGTCCCCTGTCGCGATCTCAACGGGCGCGTGTGGTCGCTGAGCGAGCTCGCGCAGCGGGTGGCCCACGCACAGTCCAGAAGCATGCCCAGTGTGTGCTGGACGACCTCAAGCGCCAGATTGCCCAGGCAACCGAACTGATTGCCAAGGCCGGGTCCGACTTGCAGAACGAATCATAAAGCTGGTCAAGCTCAAGAGCTCGCTCGAGAGTCTTGAGGAGCAGGAGCGCGTTGCATCTGCCAGTGCCAACGCGGCCTGGGCGCAGTGCGCAGTCGAAGGCGGAGTTCAGGATGCTGCTCGTGGTGCGGCTTCCCCTAACGATCCCGCCTTCCCCCTCCCCATGCAGTTCCAGACGTTAAAATCCTCACTTGCGGCATCTCTGCGCTCTTTGTCGGAGACGAGGAGTACCATATTACCACCAGCTTAATCCAATGGGAACGACGGCTGCGGCTGTGCACATTTAGCCGATGAGCAAGATGAGGATGAGGATGCTGATGCTGCTGCTGCTGCTGCTGCTGCTGCTGCTGCTGATGATGATGATGATGATGATGATGATGATGATGATGATGATGATGATGATGATGACGATACATGATGCCATGCAGGTTGCGCCGCCTGGGGATGCAATCGTCGATGCAGGTAAAGCACCAGCGGCAGCGGATGTCCGTGATGCCGGGGGTGCAGCCACCGCTGTTTTCGGTGGCCAGCCTGGGTCTCCCTTCGCGCCTGGTGCCTCGCCTGCTGTCTCTCTCTGTGTGGTGGTGGGAGGGGTTCGGGTCGGGGACGGGGCGGGAAGGGAACCATCTCGAGCAAACCGCGTGCCGCGAAAGTTTTCAAAAAGGCTTTCTCAAGCAGCTTGCCCCTGACAGGACCTGGGGTGAGTTCGTGGCGTACCATGCCACTGCGCGCAAACATGAAGAAACCATCTTGGGTGGCATCAGCGAGGCCGCTCAGAAGAAGTGTCGCGTCACGCTCTTCAGTGGCATCGCATCAGGACAGTCTTCTGTTTAGCAAGCGAGCCAGGAAACACTGCCACCTTTTTGCCAACGCGGGTGGGCAGGTCGGCCTCGATGCTCTTTGCGTGCATGTCTGTTGCCCGACACTCTGACCGTGCAAGAAATTCGGAGAATAACCGCTTCGGCTGAACCGGCAGGGCTTCTTCTCCGCAGCACTGCTTGGTCTGCCTCCCTCGCGGCTTCATTGCATGCACAAGGCAATCCGACTGGAGTTTTGCTCACAGCCGCGCCCAGGCGCATTGGGCATGGGAGCCAGCCTTCGTCGCGTCGGTGGCAGGGTCCGCGGAGGTTTCATCGCGGTTAACATTGACTTGGTTCACCCGGTGGGTATCAACGAAATGCATTTGGATATATGGTGCAAGGTTGGGTCTAAGCTTAGGCGCGCTGGCGCGCCGTTTGTCATCGGAGGCGATTGGCACCCGGCTGGGTTGATGTGATGGACGCCATCGCCGTCGCGCCCGAAGGTGGCGCGCGCCGGCCCGCCACGCGCTACGCCGATTACCGCGTCGCTCCGAACGCGATTGCAGGCGGGGCCAGGGCCGAGGTGATTCACGGCATCCCCATGTCCCCTCGTTACCCCGTCAGGCTTACGCTCTCGGTTCGCCAAGGTGCCCAAAAGGTTCCCGTCGGAGATTCCCACCGGGTGCGTCCGTTTGGGTTCCCCGTGGATGGCAGGTGGGAGCCCGCGGTTGTTCTCTGCGGTGGCCTCGCCTTCCCCGTGCAGGATGATTGGTGTTGTTTCGTCCGTGCTGCTGAGGCTGAGTGGCTTCGCATCTCGCGGATCTCGGGGGGGCAAACGGGGCGGTGCATCGGCAGAGATAGGCCTCGGAAGGTCTGCTCTAGGAAGCTGTCTTGCCCTGCTCCTGTTCAGTTTCCGAAGATCTCCTCGATTTCACGCTGGCGGAGAAAAGGTAGCGTCCGCCTTGCTGATTTTGTTCGAGGCCCAGTGGGCGCCCGCTGTCGCCGGCTGGTGTCAGCGGCCTTTCGCCTTGCAGGTTCGCAAATTCCCCCTGAGTGCGCAGCGTGCGCCGCCTGGTCCGCGGCGCTTCGGCACGTCGATTTCGCGCCGCTGCTCTCGGCCCAGACGCCCGCCGGCATGGCCGAGGGCGAGGCAGCGCGCGCGGGCCCACTCGGCGCGGGCCAAGGACAGGGAATGGAACAACTGGGTCGACGAACACCCCTCGGGGGGAATGCCGGCGCCGTTCAAGCCCCCCTCCCTTCCCGCCCCCTGACAACCCGCCCCCTGGATCATTCCGCCCTCCAGCCCTGCTCCGCGGTCGAGTCGATCGATGCTATGGACGCCGAGGGGGAGAAGTGGTGGTCTGTTGGGCCCGATCAAATCTTTCCTTGTTTGGCCCGGCCACGGCGCGCCTCCCGATCGGCCGACGCTGGCTGAGACGTTGCGCGCCCCTAGGAGTTTCGGCTCAGGCACGGGCGCCGGCGTCGATCAAATCTCGCCGCGCCCTCTGCTGCTTTGCCCTCCTCGGCCACGGGGGCCCTCCTGCGACGCCGTCTCGCGCGTCGAGCATCAGCGCGAGTGGCCCATCATGTGAGATCGCAGTGTCTTCGTCCTCGTGCGTCTCGGAGGCGCGAGGCCGTCGCGGCTCCTGCACGCGCCGGCTCGCGCGCAATGTCGTTCGAGGCGCCCTCTCATTGGGCAGCGGCAAGCCGACGGCTTCGAGGGGGTCCTTTGGGTCGACTCGCGGGAAGTCCTCGGAAGCGCGCGTGGGCCCAGGCTGCCCGGTGGGGGCATTCTTCGCATGAGAATCGCAGTTGTTCTGGATTTGAAGAAGGCCTTTCAGCGCGCGCAGCACGGGCGCCTCATCGCGGCTGCGCGTGCGAGTTGCTTCCCCGCGCGGCAAGTGTTTTTACTGTTGCAGACTTATCGCCCACCACAGGGGCTGATTGATGTTGCTGGCGAGGCCGGGTCCTTTCTGGATGCCTTGCGCGCAGTTGTGCCGGGGCGCGTTTTCGCCTGCGACACGCTGCAGCTCTTACTTTCAAGCCCGTTCGGCGCCGCGCTGGCCGCCTGCCTCGCCGCGCAGCTGCCGGTCAACACTTGCGACTTTGGCCTCTTGCGCCGGGGCGCTGAGCACCGCGTAGCGAAGGACGTCGTCGCAGAAGGCAAGAAGCTCCGCAGTGAGTTCACGGCCGTTGATCGCAGGAGCGCAGCTGACAAGTCTCGAGTGCTCGGGAACACGTCCTCTGCGCGAGCATCGATTGCGCCCAAGCTTCAGAGCCTCCGACCTCGGCCTGTTAGATCCGAGTGCAACCTTGGAGTCGACTTTGCCGCGGGTTCGGTTGGGGCAAGGCCACTGCTGCCAGCCGCGTCAAGGCGACGCGTGCCAGAAGGCATCGCATGTCGATCCTGAAGAGCTCCAAGCCTCGTCGCCGCGCGCATGGGTAAACGGCTCGAAGCGTCGCAGCGTCGCTCCTTCTGCGCGGGCCGTCCGCCATGAGAACTAATGGGTGGGAGTTAGGGATGCTTAGAGGTTCTGCATGTCAATTGCAAGACTAGCATCAATATTACAGGTCTCGCACCGCGGCCCTGTCGCTCTTCTCCAGTGCCCCAACGTGACCCCATCTATTGGGCAACCTGGTTGCCTGTGCTGTCCTATCTCTTTGCCCTGGCGGGGCTCTGCTTCCCCTGTTAGGTTCGGACTTCGGCCTTCGCGAGGCCCGTGCTCATCTTTCATCGATCGCTCACCCTTGGTCTCCCATCGAGTGTCCCTGTTGTGCTCTGTGGGCCCCCACTCAAGCAAGTGGATATCATCGCTACTCCTGTCTGCTGCCGAGTGGATTTGGCCTGGCGGCGCCGTCGTCAACCCCAGCGACTATTGCCCTCCTACTGAGCAGGCATTACTATGTCGTGCTGTGCAAGCGTGGCAATCCCAAACACTCGATGACCATTTGGAAGAGCCCGAGTTTGAGCGCGGCGTGTTGTTGCACCCTCTTGATTCGTACCTGGGACCGGCCATCATGGGGGGCCAGTGGCCCCAGATGCGTCAGTGGGGCGCGGTTTGCCCCACCTCCCCGCAGTGCCTCCTGTGTCCAGGCCAAGATGGCGCATTCTTGCACCGCCATTGCGTTTGCTCAAGGCTGGCAGTTGTGGCAGACACTCTATCGTCTAGACGGCGCTTTGCAGAGGCGGCGCTGGGCCCCCGCTCGCAGCCATCTTTGCGGAGAGGCGCCCAGTGCCCAGGCCGCACTTGCCGCGACCACCACCGGGGGATGAAGCCGCATGGGGGCGCGGCGACCAAAGTTGTTAGTTTTTGTAACTACATTTTTGTTGGCAGCTTGGTCTTTGGGGCGGATTTTGCCTCCGTCGCGCCTGCTGGCTGAGGACATATCGCCCTGGGCCTTTCCCGGGACGTCGGCATTGCCAGCCCGTTTGGGCTTGTGTTGGGCCCCATCCAGTAGATCGGCGACGCTGTGTTCATGGCTGTCATCAGTGTGCTCACGTCTGCTGCTTCGCAACTTCGTGTTTCCACTGGCTCCCAGTGCGTTTGCGACGGCTACCATGTGAGAGGCCGAGTGGTGACTTCTTCTGCGCAGCTTCGCACGTGCACCTGTGGCGCGAGTTCTGGGGATTGTTATCGATGAGCGAGGGGCGCTAGTCTTAACCAGGACCAAGGCGAATGCCGCTTAGCGGGATGTATTAGGTGGCGGCATCACGCCTACTCGGCGGCCCGGGAATCACCAGGCCGACAATGCTGCGTGCACTGCAGCCATTGCTACTCGACTTCCCTCGGCTGACAGTCGGCAGTTGCGAGCGAGGCTTGAAGTTGTTAAGTCCTGGCGATCGTGGATCGATCGGCTGTCAAAGGAGCTGTCTGACCGTGGCCACCCGCCGACGCATCGCAATGGTAAGTCTCTGCGCACGCAGCTCCGTTTAGCCGAGGCCCTGCCCCCATGGATGTGGCCTCGTGTTTTAGCCGCTCAACGGTCGTTCGCGGCAGGGGCTCGGCATGATTATGTTTGTTCTTCGTATCGCCCCCCACGACTGGCCGATAGTCGTACAGCGCAGTCATTGCGTGATCTTCGCTTCCTATCGCGCAGCTTCTCTTGCGCATCCATGCCCAACCAACGTGATGGACCCAGGATCCAAAAGAGGAGGAGGAGGAGGAGAAGGAAGAGGAGGGGGGGAGGAGGAGGAGGAGGAGGAGGAGTTGCAGGAGGAGAAAGAAGAATTGTAACATGACAGTGATACGATCAACAAGAAGAAACGATCTACACATACGACAAATAACTACAGGACTCTGAGGAGGAGGAGGAGGAGCAGGAGCAGGAGCAGGAGCAGGAGGAGGAGGAGGAGGAGGAAGAGGAAGAGGAGGAGGAGGAGGAGGAGGAGGAGGAGGAGGAGGAGGAGGAGGGAGGAGGAGGAGGAGGGGAGGAGGGGGAGGAGGAGGAAAAGGGAGGAGGAGGAGGAGGACGAAAGGAGGAGGAGGAAGAGGAGGAGGAACAACGGAGGAGGAGGAGGAGGGAGGAGGAGGAGGAACAGGAGGAGGAAGAAGGGAGGAGGAGGAGGAGGAGGAGGAGGAGGAAGAGGAATAATAATAATAATACTAATACTAATAATAATAATAATAATAATAATAATAATAATAATAATAATAATAATCACACTTATTATTATTATTATTATTATTATTATTAGTATTATTATGATTATTATTAGTATTATTATAACGCGCAGGAGAAGAGAAGGAAGAATAGGAAGATGAGGTGGGATGAGAAGGGATCAGGAGGAGGAGGAGAAAAGGAAGAAGAGGAGGAGGAGGAGGAGGAGGAGGACAATGGGAAGGAGTAGGAGGAGGAGGCCGCGACCTATCGATGCGGCGGGGTCGGCCGCGCCTAGCCCGGCCTGCCCCGCATGTCGATGCGCCTGGGCGTGGCGCCTCGCCGCCAGGTCTCCTGGCGGCGAGGCGCCCGCTGCTTGGCTACTTGCGCAGCAGGGGGGGGGGACGTGGGATCCCAGCCCCGACGGGCCTAGGGTCCTCGGAGATGGGGCCGTGGTCGGGGGCCGTGACCTAAGGAGCCCGCCGTGGTGGACCCGTGGAATGCGCGGCAGCGAGAAGGCCGCAGTTGGGGGGGGCCGCGGCCGGTCCGACGCCCTCATCGACGGCGCGACGTGTCTCCCCCCAGGGGAGTGATGGGCACGACTTCCACATCGCGGGAGGAGGGAACAGCCTGGAGGGAGGAGGAGGAGGAGGAGGAGGAGTTTGGAAGAGGAGGAAGAGGAGGAGGAGGAGGAGGAGGAGGAGGAGGAGGTTGGAAGAGGAGGAGGAGGAGGTTGGAAGAGGAGGAGGAAGAGGTGGAGGTGGAGGAGGAGGAGGAGGAGGAGGAGGCGGAGGAGGAGGAGGAGGGGAAAGTAGGAGCAAGGAGGAACGCGAGGAGGATAAGACAGGGATGGGGGAAGGATGAGCGATAAGGGATGATAGTGGTGATGCAGAGGAGGAGGAGGTCGTGGTCGTTATCCCCCTGCCCTCCAACGCACTCACCCCATGCCCGACATCTGCGTCATTCTTCCCAATTTCGCCTCCCGCCGCCCTTCACTATACCCACCTCCGCTCGGAGGCGGAGGGGACGCAGCAGGAATGCAAGGAAGAGGACGACGGCGGGGACTATCAACAGGAAGATGACGAGGTGGGTGAGGATGAAGTCGGGAAGAGGAGGAAGACGAGGAGGAGGAGGAGGAGGAGGAGGAGGAGGAGGAGGGTGTAGAGGCCGAGGGCGAGGTCGCAGCTCGCAGCTCGCAGCTCCAATTCACACGGCCTGGCGCGTGTCGCACAGCTGCGGAGGAGGATGTGGAGGCCGAGGGTGAGGACGAGTTGGGGGGAGGATGATGCGGCCTGGAGGAGGATACAGGCTCGAATGAGGACAAAGATGCGGATGCGGCGCGAGGAGCAGATCGAGAGGAAGGATGATAAAGCCGCCGACGGCAGCGAGGGCGAAGGCAAAGGCGAGGGCGAGGGCCTCTTCTCTGCGACCACGTGCGAACCCTACGTACCCCTGCGGGTCCAAGCGACGCCAGGGTATCGGACACCCCTGCCGGGGCTAACCTGGCTGCAGACATCCTCCGAACTCTCAACCCCAGCTGGCGTGTCAGACTTCAGTCCTGCAGGAGTTGGATTCCCACTTGCTTACCTGTCCCCCTCCCTACTCAGAACCTCGTCCTTCTCCCGTGGGTCGCGTCGTTCCCTTCTCCCCCGGCTGCCCCCCGCATCTAAACAGACACGAACATTTTGTCGCTTCAGCGTATGCGGCCGCTTCATGCTCTCATCGGCTGCGCATCACCTGGAATGCTTCCATACAGTCCACCCGCATAGTAAGGATGGGCAACCTTCCCAAGGATACCCTTGCATCCTTGCCTCCTCAGTCCAACCTCGGCCACTTTCGTCGGCCGCGCCCCGCTCGAGAAGCTTCGACATGGGCGTCCAAGGCCCTCGCATCCTCATCGCGCAGCCCTATGATGTGGGCCGACTGTGTTTCCTGTCTCACTGGGTCTGCCCAGGCGCGCTTCAGTGCGCCTTCAGGGGCCAGCCCGCCGCGGCCAGTTACCAGACCGCTTCGCTTCGCTTCGTCTCCCTCAAGTCGGGCGGCAAGAACGGGGGGACATGAGAAGGAGGAGGCCTTCTCAGAAGGCGGCGGGACTTCTCAGAAGCCCTCGCGCCTTCTGAGAAGTTGTCTGCGTCCTCGGGGAAGGGTGAGAGAACTGCTCGGAAGGCCCGGGGACTTCGAGATCTCCGAGGAGGCCTCCTCCTTCTCGCTTCCCCCCTGGGCTCGCCGCCCACTCGAGATCGGCTCCCCGACCTTTCCTGGCGCGAGCCCCGTTGGGCGCCGCGTAATGGGGGGGTCATACATGGGGGGGCGGCGAGGGTGGTCCGAAAAGGTGCCCAAACGGTACCTCAACGAGCCCCCTGGGGCTCTGGAGGGGCCCGAAAGGGGCACGAAAGGGGACCTTTTCTGACCCCCCCATTTGTGACCCCCCCCATTAAGCCACGCTCAGCCCCGACCAGTGCGTCGGGAGGGCTCCGAAGCGGCGGGGGCTCGCGGCATCGGCTCGCGAGCTGCGGCGGGGCGGCGGGGAGCTCGGAGGCACGCCCGGAACTGTCCTCGGGCCTCCCGGGGCCCCAGCCCGGGGGGCAGCGTCAGTGCGCAGGCAGGCGCAGGGGCAACGTTAGGGGCGGATACGCCCTCCTCCTCCTCCTCCTCCTCCTCCTCCTCCTCCTCTCCTCCCTCCCCCTCCTCCCTCCTCCTCCTCCTCCTCCTCCTCCTCCTCCTCCTCCTCCTCCCTCCTCCTCCTCTCCTCCTCTTCCTCCTCCTCCTCCCTCCTCCTCCCCCTCCTCCTCCTCCTCCTCCTCCCTCCTCCTCCTCATGCTCCTCCTCCTCCTCCTCCTCCTCCAGATTTCGTAATAAAGGGAGGGGGGTCTCATTTCGGGGGGGGTCTCTTCCAGGCTATCCTGGAGGGCCCTGGGGGGTCTGGGGACGATGCTTCGGAGGGTTCTCCCACGCGGGGGGGGGTCTGAAATGGCTTGTCTTGGAGGGTCCAGACCCCCTCCCTTTTCTTGCGAAATCTGGAGTAAGCTTAGGGGGCGACGCCGGCCCCCAATCGCCCACCCATCGGGGTGGTCGGGGTGTTCGAGCGTTCTGGCACAGGGGAAGTCGCGGGCAGCGTTAGGGGGGCATGGGCGTGAGGGGGGATCGAACGTATTCGGTACGGGGGGGGGGGTCGAGGGGGGCATGGGCAGGGCGGCAGCGTATTCGAAGGGGGATCGATGGGAACGTATTCGAAAGTATTCTTGGGGGGTGCATGGGCGTAGGGGGGGGGATCGAACGTATTCGGCAGTTGTCGGAAGGTTCCGAAGCGCGGGGTGGTTTCCTTGGGCTGCGCCTCGTCGAGGTCGCTCCGGGGTGTGCCCGGAGCGTCCCGAACGGCGGCCGGAGAGCCGTGTTCTGAGCCGAACACCAACCACAGGGCAAGGATTAAATCGGGCCTGTCCCTCTACAGGAGGAACACTCAAAAATAGTCAAAATAGTCTGGGGCCTATTTTTTATTATTTTTTGATATTCTGGAGTATTCTTGGAGTATGTTCATTTTTCGTCGAAAAGCCTCCTGTAGGGGGACACGCCCGACTTGAGGCAAGGATATGCTCAGAGGGGACTGCGTCGGCCTTCACGATCGCCCACCCCCTCCTCCTCCTCCTCCTCCCCCTCCTCCTCCTCCTCCACAATTACTCAATATGAATACTACTCTCCCTCTTCCCCTGATGACGGCCTGGGAATGTCCGACCCCCCCCCCCGCGTACTGTTTTTTACACACAGGTTTCCCCGGAGTTGGGTTTTCGCCTGCATTTTTTCCAAAATGCTGCTCTCGCTGAGGCGCTGGCCTCATTTTC